CGTTGAAAGGACGTCGTTTCCAAACCATAGTGGAGATTCCGGACATTGCGACAAATAACCTGCGCGCCATTTCAGAAAGAGTGTTCCAGGAGGCTTTCCAAAAATGGAAGCACCGTTAGGAACGGTGTATTGCCACTCGAGGGGACAATTTTGAGGGGAAAAGTGCTTAAACTGCTGTGCAGTGAGCAATAAAGGTGTTATAGCAAAAGTTCGGTGTCCTTTTGAACACCCCTCGTATGTGCTAACCTAAATAGAGACAATGAAGCCTGACGGTCTCGCAATGCATCGGAGTTGGAAACGTCCGCTGTTGGATACGGGAAACGTACAACATGACAACTGATGTTAGCCTAAGTATATGATACGAGAGCGGATCGCCCATCCGTAACCTGTCAAAACGCTTGGAACATTGTGCTGAACACTGAAAAGTAATTTAGTCGGCTAGAATTACTATCTCTTGTGCCGGTCCTTAGTCGCCTTGCTCTAATGACTATCTTTTTAGATCCGCTATCTCGCACAGAAATCGAATGTTAAATCGAGTTGTTGTCAATGAATAAGACTACAGGACCAGATGGACTCCCTCCAGCCCTCTTCATATTCGGGGAATACGTTTTTGTGGAATATTTACGCAATCGATTGATGAAACTCTCGGAGTAGGAAACCGTCTCTACCGGTTGGAACTGTATCGTTGTTGTCCCCATCTTCACAGAAGTTAAGTTCTGAATACGATAGTCATAGGCATATCAGTCGGATCTCCATCACCTCCAAGCTCCTTGCCTCTGTCGTTTTCGATAGAATGACTGGTGCTCGTGAAGGCCAGTTTTGTGAAGGACACGTCGGATTTCGTCGAAATCCAGACCGCATGGACTACATCTTCACTTTACGACAATTGTTGTAGCACGCCACCGTAGTCGTGTTCTTCGACAACAAACGTGTCCGTGGCTCTATGGATCTGGTGCTCTTTGGGACTTTGCTTAAATGTTAAAAGCGCGCATTAGGCGCATAATTCGGACAGAGTGAGGTTTTGTGGCAAACTATCACCGCTCTTCAGTATCTCCAGCGGTGTGAGACAGATGCGCGCTGTCATCTTTCTTTTTTAACTTCGTCATTGACGAAGTCATGGAAACTGCGTTCAATAGACTCGACATGGAACGTGTAGCGTTGCTCCCAGATGATCGACTTCTTGACTTAGAGTACGCCGACGACATTATCGAAATCAGTGACAGCTCTCAATTGTGTTAAGTAGCACTGGCCAGATTAACACTGGCAGTCAGCCTCACTTTGCACCGCCAAGCTGTAAAGCTTTCCTTCTAAATTCGCAGAGATCACTCCCAACTCTGACTTTTGGTGAAGATCAACTAGAAGTCGATCGAAAATTCAGCAATCCGGCAGCTGTACCAAGGCCTGTGAAATAGAAGATGAGGTCACGAACCGTATAGCCAAAGCTCGGGGCGCTTTTGCCAATCTTCGTTACTTGTGGATCCGGTGCAACATCACTCTCATCCGGCCAGTAGGCTTAAGGAGCACAAGCTTGCATTACATCCGCGGGCGTAGGTTCAAGCCTGTGTGGGGGGCCGGGTGACCATCACAGTATTCTTAATCCTCGTGAGACTGCTAGTGGGTGCCCGGAAGCGAAGCGTCGGTACTACGTACCGGCGTACTGCTGATGCCTGAAGAGAAGACTCTCTAAAGCAGCCGGCCGTTCATCCTATTCGGTTGTGAACTTTGGCCCACCAGATTGACAGGTGTGTTAAGTTCGACCATCGGTGCCTTCGCAGTTTAGCTCATGGCTGGTGGGAACCGCGTGAGTATTGAGTATGTCCAGTCTTTTGTTTATGGCGTAGGAAGAGCGAGTGGACCGCTCAACGCCGTTACCTCACGCACCAGGTTCCCATGTCTGGGCCACGTGTTGTGATGGGGGCTGGAAATGCTGGTGATTGGAAATGTTGTAATGCCGATCGAACGTCACAGGCCAGACCGATAAGGAATGAGCATGTTGCCGGAAGCCGAGTGGTCAGCCAATCAGGAAATAGTTGGCCCGTAATCGCGTCCACCCTGCAAATATCCACTGAACGTGCAAGTGACCAATCGCGCCAGCGGGCGAAGGAGCGCATACTCATGCACCCTTGAGCCAAGGCTTGTGGCATTGGACCGAGGGGAAGAAGCGCGCAGGCCAAATCCCGGCAATCGTACATCCACTAAGAAAGTCAAGGTGATTTCAGACAGAGTGAACGTGGCGAGCAAGCATAAACCAGTGGAAAGGGAGCCAGCGACACAATGCAAATAACAGGGATGAGCCATTGAGACGGACTGTTGTAAATAGTGTGTATACTCTATAAATATTCGAGCGTAATCTTACTAAATGACTTCGTGATCGCGGCCCAGTCTTCTTGCTTCCCGGAGGGCTACACGACACGTGTTGCGCATAGCAGCCCCCTAATTTACGCGACCTACGTTGTTTGCACGTCCGGGATGTGGATGGAAGGAAAGGAAGAGAGGCAAAACGACTACTTGGTCTAGCGCAATGAAGACCTTCATTTCGAACTTGGCCTCTGCTAGTTTCTCCCGGCTACGCTGCTGGTGCCCGAAAAAAGTTTGTTTGCACACACTTATTAACATGGCGAAGAGCCGGCCTCAATGGTGTTTGTGTTGTTAGTTTCTTTTTCCCTCCTCTCTTATCGTAATCTCTGCATCGACACAGACTGCCTTCATTTTTTCCCATTTTCGTTCTTTCCTATTATCACCTAATTAGTTTGTATTGCGGTACATTAACTGGGGTATTCCTCACCACTAACTACCGTGTAAATTGATGGCATTACTGATGCCACTGGTCGCGAGAGACGCTAGTTACATGGGTGAGTTTCTTTGAAGCACTTGTTGCGACACATGAACTGTGTTTTGCCTGCTTGACTTTGAAGTGAATCTTGGTCATTTTGATCACATGGATCATATTTGACGCAGATGAATGTGAAGTATCACTCGCTGGCAACACTACAATGTTGCACTCCCGAGAGTTTGTGTTCGTTAGACTCGAATCCTGGTTAGATAGGCCTCTACTCTGACCCAATTGGATTTCCTTCACGGTCTCGGCATAATTCAAACGAAGTTGATTCGGGCCACATAGATATTTTGGGTGATTTCATTCCTTAACAACAGCGAAGCCCGAATCGAGATTGCCTGTCGCAGTCCAACCACACGACTAGCCCTACAGGAACTCCGCCTAATATTGCTCGTTTCTATTCGATGTTTCATAATTTCCATTTTTTTCAAGTATCAACTTGTATTGCATTGCAGTGCAATAGCCAACATATTTCTCGCCCTCGGCTAATTTGTATAATGCTGATTGTAGCGACTTTATGAAGTCTAGACTAAGCAATCGCACGAGATGGGACAAGGTAACTCTAGGGTCGGCCGGTGGCCGAGTGGGCTGCACGTTTGCTTTGCAACCATAAGGTCACCGGTTCGAATCCGCGTAGGGGTGGGCGTCCTCGCGGTATACTCAGCCCGCGCGCGACTGGTGGTGGTCGTGCGGCAGCGAAGCGCCGTTACGGCGTATAAGCTGACACTCTCTCTCTCAGGTAACTCTAGGTTAGTAAACCTACATTATACGCACGGTCTGAGCAGAGGAAATAAAACGTAAATTCCTGTTACCGTGCGTATAGTATAGATTCATTAGCCTACAGTTTCCTTGTCCCGTCTCGTATGATTACTTAGTCTTGGCTTCGTATCGTCGCTACATAGTTGGATAGATTTGCAATCGTAATGGGAAAGGGAGGAAAGTGGAAGATATGCGGTGACATGGAGAAACGATACAGCATAACAGTTTTCCAATCTGCAGTCGGTCAAGAGTGAGATGTTTAACCCTATGCCAACAATACGAAGTGAACACGTAAAGTATTTCATAATGCAAGTGTTTGAAGCAAATAATTGTAAATTTCTGTAAAGAAATAAGTAAGGTTTTGGAAATAAGGATATCATGTCCTCAAATAAGTAGACCAGTTTGGCTGAATACTCATAGTTCTCTTTGGACTTTACAATGATGATGACGAGAGTCGAACTGTGTTCACTATCCAGTGGTCACTTGTTACGTCACTGGTCACACATGTTCGAATAGCTACGTCTGAGCCCCCCCCCCTGATGCAGTGTAAACTGTCACCATCTGACAACTCGCATGTTCACACTGGCACTCATTCCCGCCTATGATTCATTCCTTACGTTACCGTTGAATTGCGCTATAAATTTGTGGGTGTTTACCTTTGGCTGCACTATTAAAGGCGCTTTAGCTGATGGTCTATCAGTTTCTTCTCTGGGATTCGCGTTTGCCTCTAGTTTGGGCTCTACTGCACAGTGTTCATCTTCATCGTCCAGGGAGTAAAATGCGTTGAGCTACTGTCTGTCAGAACTCCAACCTGCTACTATCCACATGAAAAGTAGTGGGAAGCGCCCATCCGCTCTGTTCGAATACTAGAGGTATTCCGCTGTAGTATTCCGCTTTACCGCGACTCCTTTTTGCTTACTGTCCCCAAGCAACGTTCCAGTGTGTTTCATCAATATTTTAATCTCAAGTTTAACCAATTCTTTAGTGAATGCAATGCGTCGATTTCGTTACTAGCTTTCGCTTTTCTTGCTTCCTCTAATAAACAACGTCTGACGTTATCAGTTCACCAGCTTATTCGCTGTACATCAGCGTTTACCGCTGCTATCGTTCTACCGCTGTGTAATGGGAAGAGTTTCCCAATACTGGGTATTGCAAAATAAACGAACATAGAAAGCCCGGCAACATGCGACTTATCTTACGTTGCTTTGTTCCTTTGGTTGTCTCGGGTTCACACTACTTTAAAAACGCCCCTCACTGCTAAAAGCTAAGTAAGGTGGGGAGAGGGTTAAACCATCCACTAATTTACCACCTTGATCAAGCTTTTAACTGGCAACTGTGTGCTGTAGGTTTATCGAGCTGTTATGCTATAGATCTTCACTTTGAATAAACTTGCATTCTATTTTAGCTCTAACGATGATCACAGCAGTCGCCGTAAGAGCCGTCACTATCATGGGGACGAGTCCGGCTATTTTGATAGGTGAGTTCTGCTTTGTTTTAGACTCTTACCTAGTGCTTAACTTTACGGATCTCGTCCCGCCAACGCACTCTGACAGTTTTATCATTCTCATTAGCTTGTGTATAGCTTTGACCTGTCCTCTTTCCTTTGTACTGAATTTATCCATTATCAGATGTGTGACACTCGTCCTTGCTTTTCCGTTCATAACACGCATTTAGGGATTCCTACCGCTCACGAAGACGAAGCCGGTCGGGCAGTCGAGAGCGTCATCACTCGAGGCACCGACGGTAAGTCATGTGATGTGGTGGTTCGGCTGCATGCTTCTTTGCTCGAATGAACCTTCTTCGCTCCCCTTGTCGCGCTCCTTCATCTCACTCGCGTTTCCATTCGCCTGTGGGGGTATCCATTCGTCCCCGAGCATCTTTTCCATCTATGCGGTCGGTATTGTTATTCTTATTCAATGCTTTTTGCTGTGATCATCATCATCGTCATCAACAGCAGTACATCCGCCATTTGAACTCATGCTTCGCTGCCATACAACCATGATGACCTATGAAATAAAGAATAAGAAGAGGGAGAGAAGGGGGACTTACCTGAAAACTTTAATGCCCTATGCAAACATTCAGAGTCAAGGCGCCTACACCTTGTGTGAGACCATGACTTAATATTCCCACAGCAGCTGAACGCACTCAATGTGAAAATAAGACCATTCAAACTCTTGTTTAGTAAACGCGACGGCTGAGCATGTCACTCCTTATCGGAATTGATGACCTGGGAGTATCATTTACACACACCGCGTTCACCATTGTCCTTTTCCCTTGTGTTACCTGCCCTTTGCACTTCGCCTCTTCCTACTTTAGTGATCACGAACCCAACATTTTATCTTTCTGCATCCTTCACCAGATTAGTCAGCGAGGAGCTCTCGCTTTGATAACTCTCTTTCGAAGTTAATCTGTGCGGTTTATCCGAAATGCACTACAAATTGCCCCCCTGCGGAATTTGCGTCTACTAAACTCGGATTCCAGTGACGTAGCATACACATATAGCTTTTCTGGCATCGCCAAGGCAGCATTTGGCGACATTCGCGGCTTTGCAATCAGTATACGTACGGAGACCGCTCTCCTATGGCAGATCCAAACAGTCGACCGTACACGCGCTCTGGGGGCCAGCCTTTTCCTCTGCACGTCCATAACCTGCATGACGGTGGAGGATGAACCGCGCTATGTCGCGGTTAAATATCAGTCATGGAAGTCCGCTTCCGTCACCCATGATTCAGTGGCATAAGTCATGGGTTCGAATCCGGCATGATTCGGCGGATACACACTACTGACGAGTTCTAATGGGACGAAACGGCCGTCTAGCACTTTCCTGGATGTGCGGTGATTTTCTGGCTGAGTCTAGCTGCGATGAATCTTATCAAGAAAACAAAAGTCCCCCTATTAATCCGATAACCCAATTGATGTTGCCAAGCTGCCGTTAAGGGCACAGTGTCCTCTTGTGATTTCAACACACACTCCCACTACTTACAGAACGAAGACTGCCTATGGTCAATTCTACGATCATTCATCATCTTCTATCTACCGGTTCAAGAATGCAACTATTGCATTTGTCGCTAGCGACATTAATGATCTAGTTCGTTGTCTCTCTGAGTAAAAACAATCATGGAAACTGTTTTGGTATCCATTTTTGTTCCATTGGTGGTGGCCCAGGAACTCAAAGTGGTTGATCACTTCATTTACCTTGGCAGCTGCATCAGCAACAATGGACGCATAAAAACTGAAGTCAGTTGATCAGACCACATAGTCGGACTGCACCTCGAATCGCCGAGGAATATACCATTTGTTTCTTTATTTAGTTAGTGCATTGCAAAAGCCAGAACTGCCTTCTTGAACTTGCGGCATCTTTGGCGACAGAAGGGAGTTTCCCTCCGTCTGAAAGGCCGTGTATACAACTCCACAGCATGGGCTGTCTTGTTCTATGGAAGTGAGACTTGGCCCCTTTGGTCTGAAGATCTGAGGCGCCTTCAAATTTTCGATCATCGTTGTCTGCGGAGCATTGCTGGTGTGTGGTGGCAACAGCGTGTCCGCAACGATGCTGTGTGTGGGCGACTATTAGACAATGATAATCAGGCTAGTTCCTTAGAACAACAAATAGCACTGAATAAGTTATGTTGGCTTGCGCATGTACTACGTATTCCTGCTCACCGCTTACCTAGGAGGGCCCTGTTTAGTCTGCCAGGTGTAGGGTGGCGCAAGACTCTAGTTGGACAGAAGTTGACTTGGCAGCGGGAAATAAAGTTCCTGAAGGCCAAACTCGGTCCATCTTGCCTTACAGGCTGGAGTCCACGTGACCAGCCTTGTGCTTGACTCGAGACTACAGAACATGACTCGCAACTGACACCAATGGCACATCTGTTGCCGTCTCCTAGTCGGATTGCCTGTTTAAAGTGTGTTTGGGGCTGAGTTATCTGCGGGGTAGTGGCTGATCATGACGGGAGGCAGTGGAATCCGCAAGGAAGTTGTCTGACTGATGCCGCCTTATCTTTGCACGATAGTCAGCTGTTTGTGACAGTATGTTGTCTACCCAAGGTGTAGGCATCCTGACCCTGAATGTTTGTTTAGGGCATTAAGGTTTTCAGGTAAGTCCCCCTCTTATCATTCTTTGTTCCCTAGGTGGTCGTTATGGTTCTATGGCAACGAAGCATCAGTTCAAATGACTGATGTACTGCTGGTGTTGATGTTGACTGATGCTGTCGGTTTTCTTGAACGTATTCGATCACAATCTTCATGCCAACATTGCAGCTTCTCCAGGACAAACGTTCCCATCGCATTATCTGGTGTCGTCAGTTACTGATGGTGCACACCAGTCCACGATTGTGGGTTGTTACCTCGATTCCTACCATGCTAGACTGCACGCCGTCATTATGCGTAGTCTTTTGAGATCATCAATGTGTAAAACTCAAAAGTGCTTCCTCATCTCATGTCACGAAAAGACTGAACCGTGAAGTTATGCGACAGGTTGTTTGTCTCTGTGATCCTTTTTTCCAACTTAGGTGGTAATTACTAGGTGCATTCGTAGCCACTTATGCCGCCTAGGATAAGTTCCATCTCAAGATCCTTCTCATTAGTTATTCTAGATTGCACCTCGACCGTCTTCCATCCGTTATCTGCCATGATAAACGGCCCCGTACAGGTTATGAGCCAAACTCGATCTGTAAAGCGTAAAGGCGTCTCGCGTTGCCCCTGACACTGGGAGAGCGAAATTGCTCACTGGTTTGTTACCTTCCCCGTTCAGGTTAGTGCAGATCTAGCAGGCTTCACTTACGACTGTCTTTGATATCCACGACCTATTTGTGAGTTTTCCAAGGCTATGTGAGTGTCCTTACTGATTACTGGTTGGAAGCAGCAAAAAGAGATCTCTGTATAGCTATATCTAATATCGCAGGTACAAAGACCCCCTCATGTTGGAGTGCGCTCGATATATTATCTCGGCAAAGTGTTTGTCCAGGAAGTTCTTAAATTCCAACACCTACTTTGCCTCAACTACGTGCCTTGACAGGTTGTTCTATACATTCACCACACTCCGTTTGAAACAGAGCTAGTGTGCGACCCACTTCAAATCCGGTACTTCAAGCTTGTTCCGGTGTCTTCGGGTTCTGCTTAGTGTGCGTAGATGCAGCAGTGTCCTCAGCATGTGGTGTTCACCGAGATGTACTATCCGATGCGTCATGATGAGGTCAACCCGCATTCGACGATAAGCTAGGGTGTAAAGCCCTAGTTTCTTACACCGGTCTTCGTACGACACAGCTTGTAAATTAGGAATCAGCCTGGTGGCCACATGCTGCACTCGCTTAATCTTTTATATCTCGCGCCGCGGGAGAACCGTACTCTACCATTGGTCGTATTATTGACGAGTGGCAATCTCTTCGGACCAAGTGCTGAAGCTGCGTTTGAGCGCCCAAAGCATACTAAGGCCGTTTTGATAAAGCCTATTCACGTTGTTCATGGAATTTAGGTCGCAGCATGAGAGTACTCCGACGTCTCTACGAAACGCACGGGATACAACGGTTGACCGGCCACAGTGTAGGTTCAATTGCTCACACTTACCAAGTCTCATGATTTGCGACTTGGCCTGGTTTATCGGAAGTTTGACCTCTTTAGACCACATGGAGAGACGGTTGAGGTCCTGCTGAAGCAGCTCACAGTCATTGGGTGCGTGAATTACTCTCCACACCTTTAAGTCATTTTTAAACAACGCACAAGGCGAACGGAGAAGCGAGGCACATCGTTCATATGGATCATGAAGAAAATGGGCCCCAGTACGGTGCCCTGGGGCACGCCACTGCTCGAAAGATATCAGTCGGTCAGATGGTTGTCGACCTGGACCCTCCACTTTCGACCAACAAGGTGCTGTGCGCCGTCAATACCACACACTCTCAGCCTGTGGAGGGACACCTCGTGATTCACCTTGTTAAAAGCCTTACTGAAGTCGATGTAGATGACGTCGACCGACTTGCCTTAGTTCAGCGCTTGCCACCATTCGTGCCTTGTTAACAGTAGGTTGGTCATGCCTGAGTGACTTCGTAAAACTATGTTGTACGGGCGTCAAGAGGCTTTTCGATTTGAGAAGCTGTGGAAGACCCTACTTCGCAATCTTCTCAAGTCTCTTTGCCAAAACAGCGGTCAGGCACATCGGCTGGTAGTTATTCACTTTTGTTCGGGTCACCACCTTTCGGTATTGGCTTTACGGCTGAGCATTTCCAGTCGCCCGGTAATGAATCAGTACATAGTGACCTGTTACACTGCACTGTCATAGACGGCGTGATGGCCGATAAGGACTTGAGAATCAGTGGATGGATTCCATGACACCCAGCAGGTTTCGTCCCGTCAATACTTACCGGCATCTTGCGTACATCTTCGATGCTGCAATCCAAGCTTTCCAGTTTAGCGGGGACGGTAACCATCGAATTCGGCACAGTCACCTGGTCACTTGCAAATACGGAAGCGAAGTGCGCAGCTAATGCGGATGCACGATCTGCGCTCGAGGTTAGGGACTGTCCATCTGAGCCCTCCAACACTGACACATTGCCTGTATGCCTCAGACGCCGTTTCACGTCGTAGGCGAAGATTCTCTTGGGAGCAGTTTTTACTGCGACTGCAAGCTGCTCTTCGAAGGTTCGGCGCTTTCGTTTTTTCGCGTTGTTGCAGAGATTTCGCTGTCTTTTGTACACCCCGTAGTCTTCGTCAGAGCCAGACAACACGAATTTGTTCCACAGTCTGCGTCACCG